CATATCTCTAGGTGGCGGGCGCCAAGCTTGCCCAGGAAGGTACATGAGGCCAATGGGGATTGAACCCAAGACCTCCCGAATGCCACTTGCGTGCCTTACCAACTGAGCTAGGCCGCTGGTTTATATTTTTTTGATTTGAATCACGTGGGACATTCTGAAAAAAAAATAAAAATAAAAAAAAATACGTGGGACCAGCCAGTTGGACCATGAAATCTCAAGGCGGAGTTGGTACACGAATGGAACAGTTACTGTTGAAATAGACTCCTGGGGCGTGGTCCCACCGGCAAAGAGGGTCGGATAGAAATCCTGAATCTGGCCATGTTGTATGCAGAGATACAGAAAAGCAGTTCTATCTCGATTTCGTGCTCCTGTTCTCGAAAACGTCCAGATTCAGGCATTCAATCCGATGCTGTCTTGCTAATGGGACCACAGCCCTGCGTTCGAACCCAAGCGGAACTTCATATGAAATTCTTTCAATTACCTACGACCAACAAGTTGGACCATGAGATCTCAAGGCGGTCGCCTTTTTTCTTTCTAAAAGAAAAAATAAAAGAACATAACAAATGGCCATAGGCTCTGCTGCTACTTGATGAGGGGTGGGGGACAATGAGAAACGGAGGCCCAGCTACTGGCAAAATGCTCGGTCTTTGCGTTAGCCCGACCCCCACCGGCGGCCCCACCCAATCTCTGACTACCGCTGTTGGGGCGGGGGGCAACATGAATTACCTCGTTTGCGAGGCCCTATGCTTGCAGGGGTCCCCTCTATAAAGGGCGTCGTTCGACACACCTCAGCGCGTCCTCGGGCTCCGAGGACGAATCCTTGGAGCAATTTTTGATTTTCGGAGGTGTCGTTCCACCTGTCCTCGGAGAAATCCCCCGAGGACGAATCCTTGGGGCCCTCCCGCGGCCAGTTTAATTAGATTATACACAGCCACGAGAGGAATGTCCGGCCTCCAATTCGGGATGTCCGTGTAGCAGTCGTGGTGGTCCAAAACGCGGACGGCGGGAAGACGTCACGGGCCCTTGGAAAATAAAACGCCAATGCGGGAAAATCCCCTTTCGAAATTCGAATTTTGAATTTTGATGTTGCGGAGCGACGTGGTGGCTGCGCACAGGCGGGTCGGTGTGCGTGCCTGCCTACGCCGCGCAGGGTTTCGTTTGCCATCGGGTTGCGTATTTCAGCGGCGACGCACCGCCAGTGCGTCAAGTGTGGTCGACGCGACGAAACGAAGACGTCAGTCGCGTTCGCCACGTGCAAGCGCCGCGGCGGTGGGTGGACGCCAGCGATGGTGGGTGGACGCTCCAATCGGAATCGCGTCGTTGGGCCGGGCTGTCTTCCTGACGTGGTTGCAGGCGTCTTCAACACGTGGCGGCATACATGCACGGAGGTGGGCGGCAGTGGACGTCGTTTTTTTTGTCTACGAGGGACGTGATGGACGGCTGCGATGGCGATGGACCTGCTGTGCTGTCGACGACGGAGAAGACAGCAGTTGCGGCGGCTGTGGTTGCCGTTGTCCGCCGTTTTCAAATCGAGAGTGCGGCCAGGCGGATGAAGGCAGCGCTTTCGAGGCGGCGGCATAGGCTACTGCTGCAAAGGGTGTTGGACGCCCCGGACTGCATCACCACATCCCAAGCCGTGGTTCAGCTGTGTGCTGCTATCGAGAGCGGTTTGCTTCCTCGGGCGACGCCACGTTGGTGGATGCGGCGGAGAGCTGGCGGGACTTGGGAGGATTTACGGGTTTGCGATGACGCGATAGAGGACTACTTCCGGGAAAAGCTCCGCATGTCGAGGAGAGTGTTCATGGAGATCAGCGAACCATGTGCGCCTCATGTGCAGCGGCAGGTGACGTTTTACAGGGAGCCACTGCAGCCGGAGCAGATCGTCGCATACGCGCTGTATAGGTGGGCCACAGGAGATCATCCTTACGACAACAGCACATCATCCTTCGGCATGGGCAGGACTTCCGGAGTTCGAGCCGTGCGCGATGTGACAGCCGCCATTTTGAGGGTGTACGGGGAGAAGATATCGTGGCCGACGGGGGTGCGGAAACAAGTCGTCCTACGGGCTTTTCTGGACAAGGGCTTTCCAAATTGCCATGGCACAGTTGACTACACATACATCTACGTGGACAAACCGGCAGCGCGCCTGGCGAGAACTGCTTCGACCGCAAGCACCGTTTTTTCGTCGTTGCGCAGGTTGTGGTTGACCTGGATCTGCGCGTCCATGATGTGTTCGTGGGATATCCGGGTAGCTGCCACAACATTAGGGTGATCCACGTGTCAAGTCTGTCGAGGCGCGCGGAAGAGGGATTACTATTTCGTGGGCCGCCTGTGACGCTGCCGGGAGGGGTGACGACAAACGGATACATCTTGGGCGATAACGGGTATCCTCCTTCTGAGTGGGTGGTGGTGCCGTACGGAGGAATCAATCAGCACCCGGACGAGGAAAGGTTCGACACGAAACAGAAGGTCGCAAGAGAGGCCATGGAGAGGGCGTTCGGGAGGTTGAAAGGGATGTGGAGGCTCTTCTTGTGGACGCACAAGACGAACCTCGAGAGTCTGCCGCAACAGTTCACGGCGGTATGCATTCTCCACAACATCCTGGTCGATGCAGGAATCGAGTTCGACGAGAATTTGTTGTGGGAGGTAGACGCGAACGGGGTGAGGCGGCGAGTGGACCTGGGGATTCATCGCCCCCCGCAGGCAGTGTCCATGTTGACTTCGACGCGCAAGGCTCATGCGCTCCGCAATGCACTGGCGCGGCGGATGAAACAAGTTTGATCCACCCAACCGCCTACCTGTTCGTCCCGTTGAAGTCGTGCCGTCGTGGTCAGATTCTTTTCAGGTGTTTGTTCTTGTATTCGACGACGCTGTAAAGGTCCAGTCCGTCGCGCAGCGGGAGTGCGATGGGATCGCTGATGTAGTACTCGTCCTTTGCGTTCATCTTTTCGTATTTCGGCTCTTCATTGTCCTAGTGGCCAAGAAGTTTGTTTTCCCCCGCAATGACGTGTAGTCGTCGATGGATTCGGTCTTTGTTTGATAGGGGTTCGGGGGGGGGGGGGGTGGGCGGGGGGGGGGGGGGGCGTAGACGGGAGTCGTAGTCGAGGGCTTGCAGGAATAGGTTCGTGAGCCCGCTGTTTCGCATGCGCTTCACGCGCCTTTTTTTTTTATAACTTTAGAACGGTGCATTTTTTTAATGATGTTTGGCAATGGATTTTTCGGCGTACCCAACTGCTGCTATTCTTTCGAGGGATGTTTTTTTTTTTTTTAATTTAATTTAATTTAATTTAATTTATTTATTTATTTTTTTTGCGGTGCATGGAACGTGTGTTGTGCATGTCGTCTCTGCTTGTCTCCGTTTTTTTCCAAAAAACTCTTCTACTTCATTTTTTGCATTGATGAATGACGTGCATCGCGTTTGTGAATCACGACTGACATGCATCGACAACGAAAAGAAAGATGATATCGCGACTGATGTGCTCATCATGCAACCGTACAACGAAGACACAATCCTTTTATTTCTTTTCTTTGTTAAGTTCACGACAATGATAACGATGCCGCGATAGGTGAAATGGAAAACACACGGGCTCATACACAAGAAGATGCGGACGACGATGCGATGGCCATTCACGCGTGCGTCATGTGATAAAACCACACCGAAGACAACGACGATATGACTCCGTGCGCAATCTTTTGCATGCAAACACAAGACATGGAAAAAGGAACACACATTTCACTGAGTTCATATTACATATAATCAATCACACTGGCGACGATTCCCCCTTCTGTCTGACTATCGACACTTATAGCATTCCGCACTACACACCGACTGGTCCTGCCGTCTACGCACATTTCGGCGGCGCAGTCCGCCGACCCAATTACCCTGCGGCGGAGCAAGCGTACCAAGCGCGCTCCAATCACCTAATAATGACACAAAATAAACGAAAGCATCGTTCATTACACATGCACCACTACGACTGCAACCTGACCTATACATGACGACACTCGATACCAGACGCCGTTCGAGTCGCCACGACCTCACCTTCATGCTGCGCCACGAACGCACCCACGTGTCAATCGTCCTCGTTTCCCACTTCCTCCGCCGCAGGCCCGCTGCCAATCCATCCGTGTTTCGTGGCTTCCGCCACGTTCTTCAGGGCCGCGTTGTGGCCGAACATCAACCCGCAGTCACACCATTCCAGGAATGCAGTGCGGGTATTCTCCCAGTGTGAGGTGAGCCTTCCCTATACGATCCTAAACGAGGTTCGCACTGTCAACGATGTGTCGCCGCCAGTTGAAGATGTACGACCCCGCCATTATCATTGTCGGTTTGGCGACCAGGGACGAGTAAAGGCACGCCTCGTAGTGCGAACGATCGTCGTCACCACCCATGCGCATGATCCACATGCACGCGCTCAACAACGCTCGGAGACAGTCTGCAAGCCGAAACAACCTCTCCCGTTTCACGTGCCCGCCGTCCACCCATTGTCCACACCACAGTGCGTCTGTCCAGCACTCCGCGATGCGAAGAACTATCGCCTCCTGCCGCGCCGCCATGTCGTCGTCCTCTGGTCAATCCACAATCTTCACCCCTGCGAACCACAGAGGCACGTCCATCTTCAGCGCCAGAGTGTGGTACACGAGTGCAGGGGATACCACGTTCGACCATTCCTGCCCCTGCCAAACTGCTCGTGCGACGTCTGTGGCAATGTCGACACTGATGTACGACTCTGCACGAGTGAATCCAGCCGACCGCGACGACGATTTGAAGATCCAGCCGTGGATGGCGCGCAACACCAGTTTCTCGACGTTGCGCGCTCTGCGCAGAGCCGGTTCACGCTGCGCAGGGTCGTCGATTTTGAAGCGCGGCACGTCATTCGGCGGCAGTATGAGCATCGCAGGCGGTTCAGCTCCTGCGTCTCCGTTGGCGATTGCGACGAAGTAGTCCACGCACTCGCCAACCGCCTCCCTCAAGGTTTTCCCCGGTCCCTGACCCCAGAAAGAGTCGCAATCAACCCACAACTTCGATCTTTCCTCCAGACCATCCTCCTTTGCGGCTCCCTTCAACCTCGTCACAAGTGGACGGTCGTCGTCGTCGTCGCCCTCCCGCTTTCCGTCTCTTCTTCCCTCGTCGTGGCGGACGTCGTCTACCCTCTCCTCGCCCGCACCTTCGGCGACTGCAGTTCTACCACTGCGATCCGCCGCCGCTGTCCGAGTGCCGATCGCTGTTGCATCGCCCTTTTGCGCGGGCTGTGCTTTCCCCCCCCTTGAAGCCCCCAGCTGTTGCAGTGGAAGTGGCTGACGTGGCTGGCCCTGCCCCGTCGCTGCGGGAAGTTGCCTCGGGACTGGCACCTCCGTTATGACAACCCCTGCCGCCTTCGGGGTCCTTTGCGACGCCCCGGCAGCACCAACAACGATGCTCTGCTTCACAGCGGACACCTGTTCCCTCGTCAACCCATCTCGCCCGAAACCCAATCGCGGCGCCGCTGAAGTACCTTGCGCGTCCACCATCACCACTTCTTTTGGATGGAAGTCTGCAGTGTGCTCGGAGCTCGACTCTTCAACGCGCTGCCTTTTCGGCTTAGGGATGTGCCCTCTGCCTCTCTTGGTTTCCCCCTTGTCGCCCGCCCCGCTATTTTGCCTGGCCTTCGCTGATGCGTTCCTCGGGGCCATGTCGTCCGCAACTCCGCAACGACGAACATGTGGACGAAGGAGCGCGTCGACGAAGGAGCACGTGGAAGTACGACGCTTGGAGATTGACGACGGCCACGTGGACGATGCGCAGTCGTGGTGGGCAGGAGTCGCGACGATGATGGCCACAGAAAAAAGAGCACGTGCTTGCGGCGCGTGAGGGGGGACTGCACGCGGTGCACAAAGCTTGAGAGTGGAGGCGCAAAGGGCGGGAAGTGCTGGCTTGCGGCGAGGAATCAGTGATCAGACGACACCGTCGGAGACGTGGACAATGGAGTACTGCCGTACGGACTGCGGCCCGCAATCTCCTTTTCAACGCGGTGCGCTAACGCCGCACACCGTGTACACACCACACCGTCCACAACAGCTCGCCCCCTGGCCGATCGCACACAGACCGTTTTTTTCCCGAAGGCTTGTGGTGATCCGTCGTATGGCCAACAACGTGTGTGGGCGCGCAGGAGGACCATGGTGGAGGTC